CTGCTTGGATCCCTTCAGCCCTATTATCAACATGCAAATTCTCCCCAATGGCTGACCCTATTTACTAAACACTAGTCGGTTGAAAGAGTTTGATTCCCAACAGGCCTTATTCCATGTCTTTTGTCATAGCAAAATTTCTTGTCCTTTATTGACTACCAAGCAGCAATACTCACATTAATTTCAATGCTGCTTACACCACTGGGCTGAAAGGGTGAATCATTTAAGTTAATTCCATTATCTATTGATTTATAACTTTGTGAATCTAGTTAGTATTATTCATTGAGAACCATGCTTCTTGTATCTTACTGTGGGTGGCAGACCTCCTACTACAATGGAGGTCTGCTTTGCTTTTCTTTCCTGTAGGGTGATTGTGTTCACCCCCTCCCCCTCTCGGGCTAGCAGTGGGCTCACACAATCGTGGCAGGGAACTGCTACCTAGGCTGCACTTTGCCCCACAGTAAGTGCTATGGCCACTTTTAGTGAAATCAATGGAGTCAGTTGAATCTTTGGGATAAGACTTCTGTTGTTTTGCAATACGTAGGGCTGTCCCACCACTTAAAGATGTGAAAAAAAAAATCCTGCAGCGGAAATTTGCACTGCTTTTTGACTGAACAAACAACCTGCCTTGTTGGTCAGCGGGGAAAAAGTCTTACCTCTGAGAAATCTTCCAACCTCCCCGTCAAGGGTCAAATGGTTCGCCCCTTAGCCCCTTCAAGGTACGACGGGCACCCCCGTCATTTTTATATGGTAGCCGGCTCATTCGCCAAGTTTTAATAAAATCTTACGACTTCGTTTTGTGTCGGTTTAGTTTCGTGGAAGCTGTGAAATTTTACAGAGACTGGGCGAATTTTAGGATTGCGTTAAAAATGTCTGGGAAAAGAGTTGTCTCCCTTGTCAAAATAGTCGAACCTCTATTAAGCGGCCATCCCTTATTAAGCCGTCGGTTATCAAAGTCCCGAAATTATTGTCAGTAAAATACTGTAGTAAAGCCGGTCACCTCTATTAAGCGGCCGCAGCCACCTTTTGGTTGTCCCGATAAGGGTTTTTCTTTTCTCTCTACTCCTATTAAACGGGTGATAAGGTGACGACTGATAATTCAAACACACGTTTATCTAAATCATGATTGTTTTGAAGTGACTCCATGTTCACTAAGAAATTAACCCGATGGTGAAAAATAATGAAGGTACACCGAGACGAACCCATATTAAGCAGCCACCTCCCATTTCCTTGAAAGTGGCCGCTTAACATGGGTCCAATTGTATTGTATGTAAACCAAAGAAAAAAAATTGCACAGCGCGAAAAGACCTAGATCCGAGTTTAGCGCTACAGTATTACGCAGGGCATGTAGGTAGCGGTTTTCCCTGTAAGGTCGCGTAAGAAATGACAACAGGAGACAATGGTAAACTATTCATTCTTTTCATTCCTTTATTTACTCTCCTCCTACTCAACAAGCCTTACGTATAGAAATTTGTCTCACCCCTACCCCCCAAAATGGGATGACAGCATTGTGTGACGAACAAATACGGATTGAAGGGTTCAATTCAAGCAGCAATCGATAAAAGGTATCTATGTTTTGTTGTAGTGCAAAGCAAGCAATGATCTACAAATGACTTAACCGTTTTTGACTTCTAATGAGATGTAGTGGTGATCATATGCGCCGAAAGATGATCACAGATTCATGGTATTCGATCATTAAATACATTGACAGTTGGCGATGTACATCGGACGTTGTGTAAACAGAAGCAAACTTTACTGCTTTATATGCGACGAATGGTGAGAGAAACACTTTAAGGGCCTTTTTACAGGAGGGGGAGGAGTTGGGGGAGGGGGTGGCGGGTTAACCCTAGCTGGAGGGCAAAAGATCGCCTTGGTTTACAAGCAAAATTTCACAAGTAGGATAACCCTACAACCCGGGACAACTTCATGCGCGGTTACCACTCAAAGGGTCTGGAAACAATTACTAGAAAGTTAACCCGGGTAGGCGGGTTAACCCTACCTGGAGTGTTTACAAGGGAAAAAGTTAACCCGCCTGCCAGGGTAACCCTAGCACGCAGATAGGGTAACCCACCTACCCGGGTAACCCTAGCTACCTTGTAAACACGATCAAGAAATGTATGCGCTTGTTAGGGTAACCCACTCTCCTTGTAAACAGGCCCTAAATGTGCTTTTGGACCTGCCTTTTACAGCAAATAAGGTAAAAACATTCGAAATTATCAGCTCTGTGTCTATTTCAACTTAATATAGGTCAAGACATGTGGCGCATGCTAAAATACATGTCTAATTTGACGACGGAGATTTGCGTTTTAATGTACTTTGAAAAGCTCTCGCGTCGCTCACAATTATTTGCCCAAAGAAATTTTACACGAATCTGTAGACCATCCTTCTGCGATTCAATGCAACCACCAGGAGCTTAGTCCATTTGAAGGTTTCGCACATGGTGAAAATTAAATATAGCATTAGTGAAGTAAAATAAAATAAATTGACAATTTCTCTAGGCTTTTTGTCACTGTATAGAAAGAAATAATTTTCTGAAAATAACAAGAAGTAAAAGAGCTTTTTTGCGTTTTCACTTCTTGGCCAAATGGCTAGTACAAAACGTCTGGATTTGGTAATAGACCTTTTTCGCGTGGGCGGTTTGTTTTTTCCATTACAGACCACACGATATTCTCCAGAGAATTGTTCTTTTATCCATCTAAAAATTAGTTATTCATATGCACACGACTATTTGAAAATTTGAAAGGAAGAATTCTCAAGAGTATCATCACATGGTCTAAAATGGGGCAACAAACCACCCAGTCGAAAAAGGTGTATTAATATAAATCCTCCGACGTTGACTCAAAAGGCAGTTGTCGATTTACGTCACGGAATAAGAATTGGCGTGTTATATATTGCGCAAATGTATAGAAAGTTAATTACCATTTGCTTAATTAAGGCTAACATTATAAAATGTACCCCCTAATGCAGCATTACCGGAATACACTGTTCTTACAGAATGCGGAGAGGCTGAAGCTAGGCAGGAAATTGTTACGCAAAAGGTATGTAAAACTACTTTTTCGTCAGGCTTCAAGGTTTAAGCATGTTATAATACCACAGTTTTAGATTAAAAAAATGAACTGTTTAGACAAAAAAAAAAAACTTTGCCGGGGTTCTATATAAAACGTGACTGGCCTTGCTAACTACTCTCTATTTATGGCTCTTTCTGTCGTAGAAACCGGTATGCTATAATTGTTAAATTTACACTCCTATATTTGGTATAAAACAGAAACTCGTCCTTCTTTAGTTCCTAATTGCCAGTCGAAGTACATGTTTGTTTGCTATTTTGCGTGAAACTTGCCTTGCCAGTTAATTTTATCGACAGGGTGATTTTAAGACTCAAAAACCAGTCAGAATAACGGAAAGGTCGACAACGTGAAGTTATTTACTGCTTGCTATAGTTATTAAACGAAATCGCTCTCAGACTAGATCGCTGGCACTGAATATTGTGTTGCCTTTCAAACAATCCTCGAAATTTTTACTTATAATTCGATTCCAGCCGCGCCTTAGTTTTCGACGTTAAATTATAAACAAAAACTGAAAGAAAAATTCACCTGCAGATGTTGGCAATGCTTGCAGGAACGGCTGAAAATCAACGAAAATAATGGTTTAAAGGCGATCTCGACAAAAGCATTGAAACCTGATATCAATCCACTCTCTCGCTTGATACTCGCTTGCAGTAGGCCTGACAGAGAAAATGCTTGCGGTATGTTAATTTGTTGAGTTTTTTGACAGGGTGATTTTAAGGATCAAAAACCAGTCAGAATAACGGAAAGGTCGACAACGTGCTGTTATTTACTGCTTGCTATACTTATCAAACGAAATCGCTTTCAGACCAGATCGCTGGCACTGAACATTGTGTTGCCTTTCAAACAATCGTCGAGACCGATTTGATTAGTGGCTGCTTATATATGCAGAAATTGAATTAGCACATTTCTCTTAATATACAGCTTGTAACATTTAATATACCGCAAGCATTTTCTCTGTCAGGCCTGCTATGCTGCAAGCGAGTATCAAGCGAGAGAGTGGATTGATATCAGGCTTCAATGTTTTTGTCGAGATCGCCTTTAAACCATTATTTTTGTTGATTTTCAGCCGTTCCTGAAAGCATTGCCAACATCTCCAGGTGAATTTTTCTTTCAGTTTTTGTTTATAATTTAACGTCGAAAACTAGGTGGAATCGAATTATCAGTAAAAATAAAACCATGTAAAATATAAATGACAAAAGGAAAACAGGTGGTTTTGTTTTCGTCGTAATGTCACAGAGACCGAATGGGGAGTAAAATTAACATTGAAGAGAAAATTTTGAGCCAGTGTCATTGTTTCTTTATACTTTTGTAAGGAACATTGTCAACGCAGTTACAGTGTAATATGGAAAATGGATTGGAAACTTGGCAAAGTTCTGTTTTTTATGTTTTGGCTATTTTGTTGGCTATTTTGGGGATTGACCCCGCTCAGAACCTGACAAATTGCAACGGGTAGCATGTGTGCGCGTACAGCTAACCAATAGCAGCATTGCAATTATGTTTGCTTCTTTGATGTTTACCGGTCTTCCTAACCATTTCCCTCTATTAACTATGTAATGAATAATAATCATTTAGGAACGATTCCTTGCCTTGTTACTTACAGGACGTTTCACTTTCAACACGGCATGAATTGTTTACTGTGGTTACTAGTCTCAGTTGTTATGACACATGCCAATCAGCATTGTAAAGAGACCTTGTCAGCAAGAGGAAGTTACTTGAAGGGTCACGTGATATCAAGCGGAAATGCAGTCAATATTGGCGAGTGTTTGGGCAAATGTGCAAGAGAACTTCGGTGTAAGAGCATCAACTTCCGGTTAGAAGGTTTGCTCTGTGAGTTGAATGACGCCGATTAATCAACGCACCCGTGGGATTATGGACCAAGGCAAGGACATGTATACAGCGACTACCCTTACCAGACCTCCGAGGTTAGATTTGCTGTTAATCGGGCTGAAACTTAATTTCTTACTGATCAGTTATTACCAGCGTGTGTAACTGAAGTTCCTTTAGCACAACTGCTTATGTTTCCAGACTAAGGATATTGCACATCAATGCGAGGCTAAGGTATTAAATGTACTACATGTTATTCAAATTTAGCGCCATTTCTATAAGCGATTTAGCAATAAGCCCTCCTTGTTTTACGAGCTTCTTCTTCACCCAAATGCTCAACCTCATCCCTATGGTATCATTTTTAGTTGATAAATGCCATTTTTCCTTCTACTTCGAATTCCGATCGGTTTTCTTTGAGTGGAAAACGATACTTCAAAGACTAGCATTGATGCAGTGAATAACTGTAATCAGTCTGCCATGAGACAAAAAGAAAGACAATCACTTGAGTCGACGACGGCACTCGATTGTCCATGACCTTCCGCATGCTGGTCGAGCGTTCGGTCAGCAGGAGCTAGCTAGAGAATACAAAAAAGGGCAGAAGAAGGTGAAACAAATGGCGAAAAAGACAATCAGTTAATTTTAATTTGTTAATTTGCCAATTTGGGCTGTTCTGATTTTCCTTGTTGTTGTTGTTGTTATTGTTGTTTTAATTTTATAGTATCAGTCATGCGCAGAAATAAAGTACGCCCATAAAGAAGCAAAAAGCGGTCTTTACTGGATCCCAGTGAAAAACAAAATGGAGCAGGTCTATTGTGACATGGCAATGTTGGACAACTATGGTAAGGAATTCTTGTTAGTCGTGGATAGCCTCTTAACATAGAAAATCCATCGCACGCGAGTAGAAGAAGAGAAATGCCTAAAGCTTCTTTCGCCAGGAATTATTTTGGTGAAAGTAAAAAGAATGAAGCAAGCTTTATTGTTACAACTAGATTGTCCAGTTTCTTCCTCTGCGCACACTCAATGTTTGTCGTAATAACACAATTTAAACTGCATGCCCTGTGATCAGATCCCGAGCGCTCCTGGTTTCAAGTGTTAGAGGGGTTATGTCACATAGCACGCGCGCTAGTCCTAGTACCTAATTCCTATTGAGCCATCATGAACGAAATAATCTCTATATCTACGCACGGTCGTGCGTATATAACATGACGTGAGCGGTTGCAATTTAGCTGCAAAATTTCCGTCGAGTTTAGTGCAAGTTCCTTTTGTTAACGATTCGGCAATGTGAACATTATTTTGAACAATCCAGACCCTACTTGGAGCCCTTGACTTTTGCCAAGCTAAGATGTTTACTTAAACTTGAGTATTTTAACTTTGTTTGTCTACATTTTCATTGAGTATTCTTGACTTTGTTTGCCGACATTTTCATTCTAATTAATTCGAACAAGCGAATTTTTCTTTGACAAGTTTAGAAACAAGGTTAAGCGTTTTCTTGCAACTGTTTCTGAGCTGATTGTGGCGTGTTAGGATCCTAATCACCTTTGTTTTCCTTCACCGTGCATCTTGAGAACTTTGTAGTCAATCACAAATAAAACATGTTTTAGCGTCTAAGTTGTTTTTGCCATGTTATAAAGGAATTGGTTCATGCTTTTAGCTGTGCGTATATCGAGTAAATGAATGCACTTAGCTTGGGAAGTTTGGAGAGCACTTAAGAAGGCGATAGCCGAGAGCAACTCTGGCTTCTTTCGTGCTCTCCAAACTTCCCGCGTGCATCCATAACTCGATAGCATGAACCAATTCTTTAGTGTTCTTAGGTGAACTCTTTTGTACTCACTGTTAGTGTCTTTATCCATTCAGGAGTTGGAGTACAGTACCGCTCATGCGCAGAAATAAATAACGCA